TAAAGAGCAATTAGGTCTGGTTTTGAAAGAGACAGGACTCAATAGAAAAAAAGTTATTTCAAAGACCAGGAATGTTAGTGAATGATAGATTTAGAGAACTTGATAAAAAATAAGATTGAATAAATAACAAACTAATTTTTTTTTTTTTTTGCGTAAAACGTAATAGCATAAAAAGCTACGTAAAATTTAGTTTCAATAAAAAGTGGCCTAAAATTTGATCTTCTAACGAGTTTTGTGTGTAACAAACCATTATATTCATCAAATTAGGATTTGTTTGGTATTTTTTTACTATATTAATCTTATTTTTTTGAGTTAATTTAAAATGCTCAAATTACCAAGTGTTATAGGTAATATTAGCACTTTTACTACTTTTTTAAAACCTTTGTGTTTTTAAAGAAAAACTTCAGGTGTCCAAATACCAAAGTAGATTATGAGTAGTGATCCCTAAAAATAGTTTATTCGCAAAATTTTGGATCCAGCATAGTTATTTTTAAAAATATTGCAATTTTTCCTTAAGGTGCTCATAATGCCCTAATCTAATCTAGTATCTAATAAAAATGCAATAGTTGTTGTAGTTGCAAGGCTAGCAAAAGGTGTGTTATTAACAGTAGTAGTTTTGTATCGCAAAAAGAAATTGACGGATAAAAATCCGTTTTGAAAACATTTCACTAAAACATCGAAAACATTTAACGTTAATAAAAACATTACTGCATTAATGACTAACTCCTTTTTAATAAATACATAAAGAATATTTAAATTGCTTTGAATAATGCAAATAATAACGTCTCTATAACAAGCCCGCCATCGCTCTCGTATGTAAACTAATATATGAATATTATCTAATAATGTACAATTTTAAGTATTAAATGTTTAAAAGATTTTTAATGCTTAAAAGCAACTGGAAATAAACTAAAAAAACAAAGAAGCATAAAGTAAAACAAAAACTAATTAAAAAAAGTTTTAATACAATGTTTTAATGACTCAACAATTTCTATTTTTGTAAGACAATGCGACAATGTTTTAATGACTACAACGACACACGACATACAACGATGTTTTAATTGCAACAAAATGTTTTAATGACTACAATGAGTTCTATATGTGTAAGATTTACTTAAGAAAAGACAGGGGCGGCGCAAGATAAATTGTGAACGTCGGCGAAACCAGCTTTGCGAGGCCCATTTACGTAAAAAAAACAATAACTAATATAAACAAACCTGATTCGGCCGAATCTCCGGGCTTGAATTTTTGTTGAGCACTATATTTTATTGAAAGGTGTAAACACAAGCCAGAGCTGTTATTGTTAATTATTTTAAACATATTTATTTTACACTTAATTTTGATATAGGTATACACACTTATTTGTTCTTAATATTTAAATACTAGGTTTTATTATAGGTTTATAAATTTAGATTGAAAAATTTAGGAGGAGCATAAAAGTTTCATTGTTAATTATGATATGAATTAATAACAATAATTATACGAACAAACACAAGTTAAAAAAAACAAAATTTTCGGCTTTTAGCCTCTCTGAAACTTTTTAAAATTGTGCCATAACTAACACCCGCTGCTATTCAACTTCAATGAAATGGATAAAGCAAATAGTCTTTCTTGGCTCATCGTGCTTCTTAAGCAGGTCTTAATCATTTTTAACTTTGAGAAGATTCTCTCAACAGAATCTGTACTTACTTACTGAAATTGTTTTTTTCATTTTCATTTCTCAGATTTTATAACATGATTCTGATTAGTGTGTAAAGATTTGGATACATTCAAAATTATTTTCTAAAATGTACTGTATAATTTGCTATGCATTATTTATATTATCTAGTAAAGTCGGTTTTAAAATTTGCAGTTCTTCATAAAGTTTGAAAGGAAGTTGCTGTTTACACCTTCCCGAAGTATTGTACCTAAGTTATTAGAATGCTTGAGCAAGTCTTCTCTTGGCAAAAATTTCAAATAATTGATATCGTAAATAAAACTAAAACGATCAAAATATTCATCAAGCACTTTGAATTGATATTGAGTGTCGCCTATGACTGCGTCTATCGTTGTGTTGATAAAATTTACTTTGTACTGTGTTTCAGCAGATTGTATAGGTTCATCCATGTGTTCATGACCGAACATTCGTTTTTTTCGTGCTATTCTTTTTTCTTTAAATTGTGACTCAATTTCTTAAACGCTTTTTTCCACAAACAATCGAGCTACGCCATTCTCAAATCCAGCATCACGAAATTCTTGAATCCTAGTACAAAATGAACGTAAAGTACCAATAGCGACTTTTAAGTTTACTGGAATCAATTGCCATAGTTTACTTATATTATTTACATGTAATAAAATCTCATACCACACGTGTATAGCAACCTTAAAATCGAAAGTTAACGTTTTGTTCAAAACTGCTTTGCAGTTGCTAAGAGTTTCCGAATCGCCCGTTTTATTTTTCAAGTCTTTTACTGCTCCTATTGTACTCTCTTGCTTTCGTAGTATATTGTGAACTAATTAAATATTTTAAAAGTTGACTAAGAACATTCCACGGCTCCCACCGTGTCTCTGAAAAAGGTTTTAATATTAGTTTCGATTTAGTTTTTGTAACTTCTCAACGCTTGCTTGACTTCAAAAAAAGAATATAGATTTTATTAATAAAGCCGTAATTGCAACTTGATAATGTTTTAAAAATATTTTAACTGTTGTATAAAAAATGTTTTAGGTATTGTTGAAGAATTAGCTACATCTATTAAAAGAAATTCCAGCTATGACATCCGCACGGTGTGAAAAATGCTCTTGGATTAATGTTGAGTATTCTTGTTCTGACGCCTTTATGCCTACCATATTAGCGCCATTGTCAAACCCCTGTCCTTGAAAGTTTTGTATATCCAGACCATTTCTCTCTAGTTCTTGTAATATGAAGTTTGCTAATACTCTCCTGTAGTTTCCGTAACGTCAATAAAACCAACAAAATGTTCCTCTACCGCTCCAGTTGAGGAATTGCAAATTCCTAATATTATTGACATTTAATATATTTAATACAACTTGTATCTCTGGTGCAATCGAGCAAAAAAGCATAGTGTTTTGCTTCTTAAACTCTGTGTATATTTTCATCAATAACTGTTTCAGACATCAATCTAATTAATTCATTTTGAATGTCGTGACAGATAATTTTGATCAATTTGATTTTTTAATCAATTCCTCGTTTTCCTCAAATATTGTTTTTCCGTTTTTGATTCTTTTTTTTTAAATTCCATTTATTTAACCATGCACTCCATGTTTACTTGATTTTTTTCATGTCTATACATTATCCGACTCAGATCTTTCCAGTCACAACATCCTTCTTTCACCATCTGAGTCTGTGTATGCGAAAAAGGTCTACAAGGAAAGCAATAAACAATATCATTTTACAAGGAGTAACTAACCATGTGCGGTGTTAAGTTTCGCCCTTAATCAGTAAAAAAAATTTTATTAGTCCGTAAAACAAAATTTAGAAAAATGTCTATTATTTCGTCTTTGGGGTAACTTTCATCAGATTTCTCTAAATTTTGATGGGGACTGTTTTGAATTAAGTCATAACGCTGAGAGTCGGCTATTGGTAATGTCCATTTTCCCGCATCTAAGTTAAATCGTTCAAATGAATAGCTTGCTCTTGATTTACTGAGTCACAAATTTTATCACTTGCCAAATCTTTATTGGGTCACAGCTGATACATTCGACTCTATTGCTGGTTCTGTTTCAGAAACCAAAGAAACTTAGCCAAGAGATTCCTCAGAGGACTCTGGAACAGTAGCAGTTAAAAGGGGTTATTAGGAAATTTCATCAAGCTGGAACTCATAGCTTGGTTTGATTTCTCTGTTTCAGTTTCTCTTTTTCTTTTCGATGCACCAGATTTCTATGTTCTTCCTATATCTCTGTCTCTCGTTGGTTTTCCAGGCATGATTTCGGACTTATGTTAAGACAAATAAAAAAAATTATAGTTGGATACTTGCATGAACTTTAAGTTTTGATTTTAATTATTTTTTAATGGTATTAACTTTATCTCAAGATAGTCATTAAAGAAGCTAAACATTTTTAATTAAATTTTTAAATTTACGTGTAATTAATTAAATAAAGAGTTAAATTTTATTTATAACAGTTTGTTATTTTCACTTACTTCGTTATTGTTTTTATAACAGTTTTTATAGGCACTAAACGCTTAAATAATTGCACTATTTTTAATATTTAAATTATAACTTAATAAACTAAGTAGTTAGGTTATAAGAAAAAAAACTTAAATTTGAACTGAATGCAATTTCATTTCTCAGATTTTATAATTGTTTTTAATAATAATTTGACGCGTGTGACGTGCAAAATTCGAATAATGGAATAGAATGAGACAATTGATTTTAATAGATCTAGAATCAAATATTACCATTCTTTGTTAATTAAATAGTTACGCCTTCGAGCCGGTGTAGCGGTAAATTAAGACTCGAGAAAATTAGGACTTTGAAGTCTTGATTTCCCGGGAAATCAAGACTTTGAAGGAAAATTTGACGGGAAAATTTGGTGTTATGAGTCATAATTTCCCAGGAAATTATGATTGGAGCGGTAAGTTAAGACTCCAAGAACTTGCGATTCAAAAAGAAAATTTACAAAGTCAAAATTTACAAGTCGTTCTATTCTGCAGTAAAAAAAATTTTTTTTTAAAAAAAACTGTAAATAGAATTAAGAATAGAATCAAGTTGATTCGAACGCAAAAGCATGTTTAAATAATGCGCTATAATTGTTTCATACGTAAATAAATAAATAAATTTTACAAATAAACACAAGTGTGCTGCTTCATGGCGAAGGAAAGAAAACAATTTGATTTTGATAACATAGAAGATTATTTTAGGAACAAAAAATGCCTTTCTATTATATCTACACATGATTATGGGATTAAATCAAATTTTCGAAGAACAGCAAAACGGTTTAAAATGAAGGATGGACATTTATTTTATAATAAAAAAATGGTTATTAAAAACAAAGAACTAAAAATGGAAGTTATTAGAGATGTACACCGAGGTATTGGAGATTCTGAACACTCTAAGGCAATGGCCTCACATAGAGGAAAAAACACTACATATGACAACATTGCGCAAAGATTTTTTTGGTATAATATCGCTGCTGATGATAGCAAGTATATTAGGAGATGCGAACAATGTCAAAAACAAGGTAGCCTAAAGTCTCCAAAAGTAGAATTGAAGTCTATACCAGTACCATCAAGAGTAATGGAACAAGTTGGAGTGGACATTTGTAATCTTTCAGTAGTCGATGGGTATTGTCATATCATTATCTTGATCGGTTATTTTTCAAAATAGTCCGAGGCTAAACCTATCAAGGAAAAATCAGCTCAAACTGTTTCTCGATTTTTGTATGAGATTATGAGTCGGCATAAGTGCTTTAAAATCCAAATCAATGACCAGGGTCGGGAGTTTGTAAACGAGGTATGTAAACAACTACACGAACTAACTGGAGTAGAGCAGAGAGTTACGTCTGTTTATCACTCTCAGGCAAATGGATTGGTAGAACGTCAAAACCGAACAATAAACAACTCTTTGGTTAAGGTTTTGGAAGGTAATCTTAAAATGTGGCCGCAAATTATTGAGGGTATTCTTTTTGCTCATCGCGTTAGTCGACATTCTTCTACTAACTACTCTCCATTCATACTGATGTGTAATCGCGAACCAATTTTGCCAATTGATGTTAGGCATAGCCTTGTCAAAGACGAAAGCAATAAACAAGAACACCGAGAAGAAAATATAGACGTAGAACAACCATTCAATTTCAACTTTTTTGATGCCGTATTTTCATTAACAAGTAAAGTCAGAGCAACAATCATGTCTGAAGCGAAAATATAAAAGTTGCGCAGAAAAAGCAAAAACGAAATTATGATAGTAGACATTTGTCAAAATCAGAAATTAAGGTAGATGACATTGTATTATTGAAAAACAACAAAAGATTTGATCGGAAGAGTGGGAAGTTTTCACAAAAATGGCACGGTCCTTTCACTGTAGTGAATATCTCTGAAAAAGGAGTTGCAACTTTAAAAAAACGCATTGGGGTTAACTCTTAAAAAAACATACAACATTGTTTAACTTAAAACTTATATTCAAGGAGCAGACGACAAATTAAAACCAATATTAGTTGAAAAATCTGCATATTTTTGGAATCATGCACCAGACGAAATTGTTGAGATGATTTTGATGTATGCCGTGCAACAATCGGAGAACTTATTCCCTGGACACAAGTGTGAGACCTACGCAAGTATCAAATCAACGTGTAGTAAGTGGGCCCGTTTAATTAAAAGAAAAGGTACTACCTTGCTTCCAAAGATATATATTGATTCGTGGAAGCCTCTTGGAAAGCCCTCCGATCATAATAATGAAAGTAATACTGTAAGTACACAAATGTTAATAAAAACTTTTGGAAAATCTAGTGGACTAGCTAGCCAACTATCGAATTGCATAGGTGATAAAAAGTGGCGATCTTCTTGGCTTATCTTGACACCTTAGAAAAACTCTTGGTATACCATAGATCGAATCTTCTAGAAAACAAAGGTATGTCAACCAAATCAATCATTTTTGCAAATTTCATCTTTATGATTCAAAAATGAACTGTATGAGCTCACAGAGAAAAATAGGGAAATTTTGGAAAGTAAAGATAGCTGGTTGAACGACAATTTATGGACGCAGGGCAAAAAAAAATTTGTAAGGCTCTTGGTAGCCATGAAACTTACCAATCAGTATTAAACTGCCAAAAAAAGAAGTCCACATATTTGCTTCAAATGGCAGCGTTCAAGTGTGCGATAGCCTGCGCACTAACCTAACATTGATTTCGAAAAAATGTTTAAAATCACTCTTTCAATCACTTGTGAAGAATGGAAAGCTTGAAGTAACATTTCTTCCCGTTGATAAGCAAATTGATAGTTTCAATTGTTGTGACTTTGCTCTGGGTTATGCAAGTATATTGCTGGATGGAAAATCCCCTCTTGATGTTCGATTTGTTGTGAATGAAATGCGTACTCACTATATAAAATGTTTGACAGACGCTCATTTATATCTTTTCACCAACACTTAAAAAGGCCGTCAATGTTTTATGCAACAAACCTAAACTTTTCATGATTTGATTCAAAACTCAAAATTGACTTTTCACTTGTATGTGATTTTATAAATTTGTTTTTAACCATTACAAAGCGAATCTGTAATCAATACTATCTTCACAATATTTAAACATTTTTCTATGTAGCGTCTATCATTCTATTAAAATTACTCTAGTATATTTCTTAGAGTTTTATTTTAAGTATTTACGAAAAAAAATATTGCGTTAAATACAAAATATGAAAAATACCTTAGCCGTCCATAAAGGACGCCATCCTTTTTTAGGTAATTTCACTCCCCCCAGGCGATGACTACCTATTTAAAAAATAATGAAAAAACTTATTTGATCTCATTCCATATTTTATAGAGGACTTCTTTTTGATAATCTTCTTTTTTATAAAATGAATGAAGGTTATTATAAGACCTTATTAGCGAATTAAAAAAACAATTTTAATCCATCTTGTGACATGCAGGGCTCTCCTCACTCACTTTTTATTTATTAAAGTTGACAATTTTTATAAAATATTGAGTATTTTTTTTTTAAAATAAGGTAGTGTGCCCCCCCCCCCCACACACACAAACTGCAAAAACCGTGTCGTCAGCCCTGATGGACATTGAAAGTATGACGTTCAAATAAAAGTTGCAGCAGACAACACTGATATTTTACACTTGAGCAACATTTAAAATATATATATATATATATATATATATATATATATATATATATATATATATATATATATATATATATATATATATATATATATATATATATATATATATATATATACACTCTAACGATATATTCATAAAAGCACCACGCTTACATAGTTTTCCATGTTATTTAATATAAAAATAGAAAAAAAAATTTCAAGTAACGTCCTTTTCTTGTAAACCCACTCACTCCCAATTTGTCTCTTTTTATTCTTGTTATCCCAACTCCCTCCCTCCTTTTTTTCAATATATTCTTTATGGTTGATCCCTTGAGCAATTCATTTATCTTTTTTTAAAGAAAAACAACGAATAAAAAAAAGTAAAATTTCATTCCATTAAACTTATTCATTTCAACTAATTTCTATATTCTAAATATTTTATATTTCTACTAATTATCAAAAGTTTAGTTATTTCTTTATCATCAATTGAAAATAAAATCAATTAAAAAACAAAATCAATAAAAAAAATTTGATTTCATCAAACAAGATATTATCTAAATAATATCTTAATTTACCATTATTTTACTTTCATCAATAATTTATTTGTGCACATAGTTATACTTTTAATTCTCTTTCATTAAATCTACGTTTACTTTTTATTTCATAAAACTAATTAAACCATTGAACTGCTTATCGTTGACTGATGATATGGGATCTCATAAGATGTCTTTTGTAAAAATGTAATCCTTCAAAAAGGCTTTTTATGTGGACTATTTTTACTTCACCACCTTAGCTAAAAAAATAAAACTTCCATTTATATCATTATTTTTAATACCTTGTAATTTAATGCATTTATAGTCTCTTTACAAAATACTTTTAACATGAATCAACCTTTTGTCTAACAATCAGTCTTGGGTTAGCAGCAACAATAGTCAGCTTAGACATTTTAACCAGCTGACTAACTCAATTTCAGCAGACTTTTCAATTATCTAATTGTTTCGTTTACACTTAAATACATGCATAAAATCAAAAAGTAAAAAAAATGCCATCAGATGTTAACCATAGAGATAAGCAATCAATTCGTTTTAAAAAAATGCTTGATTTACTCTATTATAATCATTAGTTAAAGCGATAACTTTTCCATTTGTCTTCTTAATTTGGTTGATTAGGATATTAATTTGATTGTATACAAAATCCAAATTATTTACTTGTAACATTCTTACTATAAATTTTGTTCCCTCATAAAAACATACAACCATGAAAGCCAATATAGTTGTTGCAAAACTTGATTCATTGTTTACTGCTTTTGGTTCACATCAAAAAAGCTTCAAAAGGTGATCTGGTTAAAATTTTTGCTTTACCAAACAAATGTCCCCGTGATAAGTTAGCATAGGTTTAACATAAACTTTATCTAGTAATAACATACAGTTTTTTTGACTATTTTGTTGAGTTTTGTAAAAAAACACTACAAATAAAAGTGTGAAACTTTTGAAGTTATAAGTGTCAGGAAGATAAAAATCATTTCTTAATTGATCATATAAACTATGTAACCGTGCAAAATGTTCGAAAGCTCAAGCAATAACTTCAGGTGAATATTTTTGCTAAAAAATGTTACTTGAGTTCAACTTATGCATTCAACTTGCTGACGTAAAATAGTTATCTTTTCTGACTTCTTAAAAGAAATCAAATATCCAAATGATGTGACCAACTTTTGAACTTATAAATACAATTTTTAACTAATGAAGTAATATTGAATACAACTCCAGCATGATAGGTTTCATATGATAAATTATTAAATACTATTAGACACAATTTACTAATACCAGTATTGCTTTAATGTTCTTTTGATTGCAAACAACATCTATTCAAAAAATAAATAAATAGATAAGCTAATGAATCATTAAGTCTTCCTTGAGATAAATAACTGCAAAATATTTTAAATGAATCAACTTCGTCAAACTCTACGAATTTTGAAAGTTCATCTTCTTTTACTGATCTAAGAGACTCTTTAAGCTTTCTAATAGAGCTTTTACCTATTGTTGTTGTTCTTTTTCTACTGGAAGAGATGGCACTAAACTCTAAATTAATTCAAATACACTAGGTGGTGGATCTCGAGGATTTTCTTATCCTTTTACTTTAATAACTTGGAAGTTTGATGGAAAATGTTTTGCCCAAACTACAGTGTAATGTTTATATGCTTTATTGTCTATTGGGAAAACGTTTATCCATCTCTGGCGCTCTTTAAGATCTCTTAGAAATTCTAGAAGTATTTGTCTTACCTTTTACTGAGTCATAGTTATAGTTACAACCAGTTTTCTGTGCATTTTTAACATCATTTTCTATGCGTCGCGCGATGTGATTTCAGTTCACCCTGTAGCGAAATGATATTCAATTTCAAGAGATTGTTGGAGTCCTAATTTACCGTTCCACTCTTAATTTCCTGGTAAATCTAAACTCGATAGGTTTTAATTTACCGGGGAATTAAGATTTTCTAATTTACCGCGACACCGGTAAACAATAATAAACAATATTTAAAAACGCTTTTTTGTAAAAATGCTTTTATGTTATCAGAAATAGTTAGAATAAAATTGATACTTAAAAAATAATATTTATTTAAAATTGAAGTAATATAATACTGATTGTAAAACTTAGTAAGTAAAACTATCATAAATTATAATTAAGATACGATATTTTATTAGTATACATATATATATTTTTTTTTTTTTTTTTTTTTTTTTTTTTTTTTTACATTTTAAGTTTACATTTGTCGTAATACAATACTTTAACAAATACAAACAAGGTTTCTGAAAGAAGATCGTACTGATCTTATCATCAGAACCTTTTACAAGCATTTAGCATAATTATTTACAATGTATATAATCTATTTATAAAATAAACAGTAAAAGTAAATAGTAAAACAAAAAGATAAAAAGTAAAACAAAAAGAGTCGTTACATATAAAAAGTAAAACAAAAAGAAAAGTAAAACAAAAAGAGTCGTTACATATAACGTATTTTACAATTAACATAAAACGTATTTTACAATTAAAAAGTTCTAAATAAAGGTACATAATTACAATTAGAAGAACCTTATTATGTCATCGGAAAAT